GGCGAACGGTCTAGCGAACAAGTCTTATGAGGAACAGCTGAGGGAACTGGGATTACTTAGTCTGGAGAAGAGGAGGCTCAGGGGAGACCTTATCATTCTCTACAACTACCTGAAAGGAGGTTGTAGTGAGGTGGGGGTCAGTCTCTTCTCCTCAGTAACAAATGATAGGACAAGAAGAAATGGCCTCAAGTTGTGCCAGGGCAGATTTAGGTTGGATATCAGGAAAAATTTGTTCACCGAAAGGGTTATCAGGCACTGGCACAAGCTGCCCAGGGAAGTGGTTGAGTCCCCACCCCTGGAGGTATTTAAAACAGATATAGATGTGGTGCTTAGGGACATGGTTTAGTGGTGGACTTGGCAGTGCTAAGTTAATGGTTAGACTTGATGATCTTAAAGATCTTTTCCAACCTAAACAACTCTATGATTCTAAGCTGTTGCTATTCATATTCACAATACCTGTATTATCAGCCCAGTGATTTACCATGATACTTGAGTGTTTTACATGGAAGAAACTGTCTGTATTGCTAATCAACTAATATCTTTTACATATAAAGATTTTTTCTGGTTTTGTTACTGTACCATCTATGAGCCCTTATCAAGGATTTGGATAACACATTGCTTAACACAATGGTAAGTAACACAGAACAGAAAAAGACTATTTATGCTCAACAGATCATTCAGTCTAAACTTCATACACAGGATGATATACAGATTCAAAACAGACCAGGGAGACTATCAGGAGGCAATGAGGAACCATTGGCCTCTGGAAAGGATGGCATATAAGTGGCTAACCAGTTGTCAGGTTTTGTTGGAATGAATGCAATAAAAGGTCTAGGGAAGATAATCACTTAATCCTGGACATTTATATGCTATTTTTTCTAGTGCTGAGGTGGTAAAGTACAAAAAAGGGATGGAGGTATCTGTCTGAAAAATGTGCCTACAGAGGCCATGATAACTGGCATCATGGGCCAGTCAAGCAGAAGTCAGTCTCTATCTACTGCTAGCAATGGTGACAGCAGTGCAGCTGTCAAGAGTCTTGCACGTGAAGGTGAGCACTTACAGGTCCCATGGGGGAACCAGTGAGGAGATGGTCAGCAGTGGCATCCTGAACAGATAGAGCTGAGCAAGGCTAGATTTGCCTAGCTTAGGGAAAAGAATGTTTCATTATTTCAGATGCAGAGATGCAGAGGAAAGAAAAGGCCATAGTTTGAATTTTATAGAAAAAAAATTCTATAAAACTTAAGAACAATCCGCATGTAAAGACATAGAAGCAAAGTTATGTAGAAAAGTACGCCCAAATCAGAGCCCAGGGAATTAACTTAAGATCAATCCAGTTTTGAGCTGCATGTAAAACCATTTCCCTATTTTTAATAAAACAACTGTTTGGAGATGAAAAAATATATTAATTTATTGTTTAACTCAAAGGCATCAAGAAACCAGTTCACGATTTTGATCAGCACTTTCATCATGGGCTCTGAAATGCTGCTGGTGACAATAAACAGTGACCTCAAAACTCATACAAGGGTCAATAGGGAGAGAATTTGGGAAGCTGTCCTGGTGCAAGTAAATAAAAAAAAAATTCAACAGGGAGGGTCTATGAATATTGTCACATGCTTTTAATTAGCTCATGTTTCCTAGTAAACTATTGTGGCATGACGTAAGAGAAATCAGTTCTTACAACTCAGGCAATGAGTGCTTTTTCAATGACAAATTAACATGTTCTTAATGTGTTTCTTAACAGTCTAGAGAATTGCCTGGAAAAGAAATATTGTGTATGTGTACCAATTCCACCTGATAACTCCTAGCACTGGTCCCATGACTTTAGTATTCTAACAACATTAAAGCCGTCTGGATTATGGTATTATAATCATGCAAACAAATTATGCCTGTCTGGAAGACCCCAGTTAGGATGTAATTATGATGTGAAATCACAATGGCAAAGTAATAGAAATGCATGGCTGTGAGGGCCTAGTTATGATCACATAAAAATGATTTCACTAAGCATTCACTGCCCTGATGAATATTTTGCTTCACTGGAATTATGCTGTCTGCAAAGGCTGTATATCTACACTGATTATTAGCAATATGTTCATCAGTGTACTGATGGATTGGAGTCTAGGATATATTTCTATTAGCAATGGGCAAGTAATATCATTTATGTGAAATAATCATTTACGTGCTAAGATACACACTTAGCAAGAAACTGCTTTCTCTCTGTTCTTTCCTGCTTTTGTATGTTAAACTTTTAGCATAGAATTATTTGTTTGTTAATACCACAACACAGAGGCTAGTGTTGTATTATTACAAAAGGAAGATACCAGGATATCCATTACAACTTCTGTATTTTAGGCATGAGAATACATTGCTTCCACATCTAAGCTTTCCACAGCTGTTGCCTTAATTTTATCAGCACTCACCTTTTATATATATACACACTCACACATATATCTATCTACGAGATATTTAACAGCTTCTATACTGAATTTTAGTTAAACAGTGAAAGAGTCATTCCAATATATCTCAAGACCACATCATAAGAAGTCTAGTGACGGGGAAATTCTCAACCCTCTTCTTGACATGGGTCACACCTTAACAGGTGGCTGTGAATCCTCATGGCCACCTGCTACTGCAGGGACAATACTCTCCACTCCCAATTCCAGACACCTCCATAATGCTTATAGCAACTGTTTAAATGAAATACTATTTTCAGAAAATACAATGTATTTGCCCCCAAATTTCAATTCTATATAGCAAGTGTAACAAAGAAAAAGCGTTACAGTCATGTTCTTCATGCTCGTAACTCAACAATCAGAGAAGCCAGGAGTACTAAAGTGTTCAGAATGTCTTGATTATTAAAGATCATTTCCCAGTTTAACATTTAATCTAAGGAGAAGGAACTGCACATGCAGATCAGTAAGCTACTGAATGTGTAAGCATCATGAAGCTCCCTCTTAATGTTTCATAACCTTGTTCTTTTCCTTAACCCCATATGAGCTAATTGCAGAGAGATTTGGTGGCTACCCTTGTACTGTTATCATCTTGGCGAACAAAGACAACTTTGACCATTCAGTGTCTTGGGAGGGTGCATGTGGCAAAACAAACAGGGTTATCAGTAATTAAAAAATGGGGTTGAGATCCATTACTTTTTTTCCAGCAATAGAGAGGATTTATAAAAATTGATTAGTAGAGTTTAAAGACTACCAAGTACTTGGTAACAAAATCACATTAAAAGCAAGTTGGGTGCACACTGCTTTTATAAAATGTATTCTGTGTTATTATCTGCACTGACACAGTAACATTTATCTAGAGATACCTTTTGGGGTTGTTTTGGTTTCTCTTCTTTCTCTCTACTCTTTGAATTACTTCTAGAGCTCCAAAATGGCTACAAATAGGCATGTTTATGCACCTTCTTTCTGTAAGAAGTAGGTCTGAAAACTCACAAGTCCAAGCGTGATAAATACAATGTTTGTAAATTTGTGTAAACAAGCAGTACCAAACAGATGATATGCATGCAGCCTCTTTAATCACAAAAACTTAGATATCTAATTTAATTTCTTTTACTGTAAGTTTAATCAAGGTACTGTACAAATAGGCAGAGTAGTTCATTTCTAACTACAAACGATCAAATGGTAAGGAACGCCTCAAAGGACCCAGCCATCTGAGAACTCAGCTCCCGTTTCCACTCATGATCCTCTGACAAGGAGGGAGGCTTAGAGATATAAATAAGGGTAAATATGGTCCACTTTGTTGAAACTTATAGAGCCAAACTGCTAGTAACAATATGTCAGGAATCCAAGCTGTCATGGGCTTAATGGTCTACCAAGAAAGCTTCTGTGTTATTTAAATAGCACAAATAGCCTTGTGCTATTTAAAATTTTGAATCTAATTTTGATGCAGTTGGTATCTTAGGGTCCTTCTAATTGATAGTGAACAAAGGAATAAAATCAGGAAACTGAGCTAAATTAAAATGAGACTGTTGCAACAGAACCATGCACTGTAAAGATGCAGGGAACAAACAGTACATCTGCTAGAAGACAAAGGTTCTTAAGTATTTTATAGGAAGCCCTCCTTTTCTGTAATAGCCTTGGTCCTTCAGGCCCAAGATGCTTATCTACACACATATATTTCATTTTCTGCCATGTCCCAAGTCCCCATGCCCCTACCTCCCCCCTTCCTCAGGGAACCATTTCTACACCCTTTCTCCACAGCCCTGCCCCATGAGAGCCTTGCTTTACCTGCTGCGCCCGGGCATGCCCAGGGAGAGCAAGCACGGACCTGCTCACAGCACTGTTGCTCTCACTGAGTCACACAAGGCTGGCTCAGCCTGTCTATTTGCCACATCACAGGAGGGAAGAGGCAACAGGATGAGACACAGCCCATCCCCATCAACTGAATAGACACAAAAGCATACCCCATGCTCATCTTCAGCCATTTGTCCTGCTGACTTCTGTCCCCCCCAACTCAAAATAAACATAATACTTTTTGGATGGCTAGAGAACAGTCATTGGGATAAAAGGAGGAAAAGACAAAAGGATTTGCTGCATTTTCCAGATTGCATTCCACCTCGCCCTTGGGAAGGCTCCCACACAGTATGACAATGTTGCTGGACAGTTGTATCATCTACTCTTTTTTGTACCTGTTTAAGTCCAGAACTCCAATACTCCAATTGTGGTTTGGTTTTCTTTCTTTTTAAATTAGTTCATCTGGATGTCTACTCTTGCATATGAGAACAAAATGTATCCCTCTCAAGTTATACTGTGCCGTCTTCCACTTTAGTGATTTATTTATACTTACTGACTGAAAAGGAAAATAATTATCTAAAAAACAAAATTATAATCTTCATTAAATCCATATTAGCCATTAATGCACTTTGTGGCTAGCTTATTTATATTCAATACCAACATATTCTTATATAAGCATTGGTGTTGACAAATACATACTTAGGCGTACTGTAAGCAACACTTGTAATAGCACAAAGACAGATCAAAGACTTCACTCACCAAGCCATCCTGATCCAGAATTGGGTATACACATATCTGTTTCAGCACTGGGCAACACAAATCCAACTACAAAAACTTCAACCCCATCAGCCATTAGGGCCATTCCCAACACAAAGAAGAGGGCCCACTGGAAACGACCATGGCCGCATTCTTGTATTATCAGTTCATACTGCTGTGCTAGCTCTTCTTCATCAGCTTTCCTCTTTGTTTCCAGTTCATGACGATCCTTATATTCATCACGCATAGGCTGCTCGAGGGCCACCATGCCAATCTTGCCCTGCCCCATGTTAGGGATTCCCTGATACTCCCCTTCATAAATTTCATCATCTTCGTCATGTCCTTCAGTTGCTTCACTTGATTCTTCATCATCATTAGCTTCTACACCATAATTTCCTCCTTGGATGTAGTAATCGTCGTCATCTTCCTCATCCTGGAATCGGTTGTAGGATCTCTGTGTGTAGCCATCCTGAGCTTTGTCAACAGCTTTATTCACTTTTTTCACCGCTTGCCTCTTCACCTCTTTGGCAATATCTTTTGCCCCTTTCACTAATGAAGTCCTATCTTTGTATGTTTCCTCCATCTTGTATCAAAGAAGGATTGCTGTTAGGTCGCAAAGGGACCTGCTGAATACAATGTAGAATATCTATTGCTTGTTGGATATCAGTAGAAAAAGCCCAAGTACATGTGAAGCTGTAATATTCAACCTGCAAAATATGAGAGAAAAAGGTTTATATGTTGCTCCTTCTTAGCTGCTTCTTTACACTGATATGGTACCATACCAATCTTCATTTAAGCACTGGCCACCACAGGTCAGGGGTTCAAATACACAAACTTGGATTTTCTTCAGACATGCAAATATGCCAGATTACAAGGAAAATAGTCTGAAGAGAAATCTAATATCAATACCACTTTTCAGAATGAAATTCATTACAGTCTAGTCTTTCAATGGCTACCAGGTTTTATTCTGAAAGAAAACAAGCAATTCCATGCACCTGTGTGTAGCCATCCTGAGCTTTGTCAACAGCTTTATTCACTTTTTTCACCGCTTGCCTCTTCACCTCTTTGGCAATATCTTTTGCCCCTTTCACTAATGAAGTCCTATCTTTGTATGTTTCCTCCATCTTGTATCAAAGAAGGATTGCTGTTAGGTCGCAAAGGGACCTGCTGAATACAATGTAGAATATCTATTGCTTGTTGGATATCAGTAGAAAAAGCCCAAGTACATGTGAAGCTGTAATATTCAACCTGCAAAATATGAGAGAAAAAGGTTTATATGTTGCTCCTTCTTAGCTGCTTCTTTACACTGATATGGTACCATACCAATCTTCATTTAAGCACTGGCCACCACAGGTCAGGGGTTCAAATACACAAACTTGGATTTTCTTCAGACATGCAAATATGCCAGATTACAAGGAAAATAGTCTGAAGAGAAATCTAATATCAATACCACTTTTCAGAATGAAATTCATTACAGTCTAGTCTTTCAATGGCTACCAGGTTTTATTCTGAAAGAAAACAAGCAATTCCATGCACCATACATCATATTTACTCTGGCTGCAGTGTCCTTCCCCATTTGAACGCCCTGCTATGTAATAAAAGGCTACAAATATTAGCTTTTCTCTCAGTGAGTTACCATGGAATATCTGTCCTTTGTCCCACTTCCCACTTATACAAATCTTGTAAGAAGTTAATATTCCTGAGATCTGTACTGGTCTCTCAAAGCTGACTGACCTTGGCCAATGCATTCACAGTGCATTCACACTGAGGCTTAGCAGTATGTAGTCCCACCCTAAAAAAATCAGCGCAAGGAGCTGGGCGTATGGAAATGGTGGCACTTTCACATTTCAGAAATTTCCAATACCTAAATCATGGACAGACACATCCCTCTCTCTCCTGTCCATGGTGACAATAGAGGCAGCCTGGAGCAACTGTATAGCATCCGCTGATTCACCTCAGAGTGCGTTAGTCCAGCATGAGCTCATGCCAATCAGCTGTGTGAAAGCACCAAGACATTTTGTCCCAGTCCCTGCTGTACCTTTACATCTCTTCCTTTATGCAGCCCCAGATCACAAATGCAGACACAATGAGTCAAGAGCAGCTTGCTTATTTGTCCAAAGACTAAGCATTCCCTTCTTTTCTGGGCAGTTTTCAGGCATATCGGCAAGGCAATTTGCTCATCACATATCTGCACGATCACTAGGGGTAGTAGAAAGAAATGGCAGCAGTGTGCAAGCAGAGGGAGGGAAGAAATGCAGGATCCTCTTGTTGGCAACAGTCCATAGTTAGAACAGCTGAAATCAACTCCAAAACTGCACCATTACTCCTGTGTCTAAAGCTAAGGCAGGATGAATCCCGGCACTGCAACAGGATTGCAAAATCCTCACCTCTGGGAGAAAGCAAGCTAAAATTTCTGTAGCAGTGGTTCCAAGAAAACACTGCCTGCTTCCAGCTTGGAGAAAGGGTTATTTTTAACCATGATCATTTTAATGATCAATTTTCCAGCATAACCTCAGAAAAAGCTGCAGTAGCACAACTATGGAGGCAGTGAGATGTAATGCAGGAGTAAGAACAAATGGCTGGAAATTTCTGAAGCAACTCCTATTCCCCTTGCTAAAGTAGTGTGAACTTCATGGGAGAAGATTAGGGTAGTGCTTTGAGAAGCTGTCCTTTACTCATTCAGTTGTAAACATGGTCCCCAGAAGTATATTCAAGACATCAATTTTAAGACTGATACTGTTTTGAGGGATAGGAAGAATCACAGATTGTATTAGATAAACTAAGGACATGATGTACCTCTGATAAAAGAAAACCAACCCTAAAATCACACAGACATGCAGTTAATATGACTTAAGAAGCTAAAAGATAATTCCCTGGCTTTTTTTGTAGAGACTATAGAAATACACGTATAGTGGAAAATATCTTTATTTTTAGTCCCTTCCTGTAGATTAATTTCATACACTCTGAATGTTTCTCAAAGAAATCAGATGTGATGGCACTATTCAACTATTCAGTGCAAACTGAAGCATTTACTGAAAGAGAAATGCAGACTTAAAAAAGCCAGGATGTAATATTTATGATTGCAAACTGTAGCCTGATTTTAGGTACATGACGATCCTTCTAAGTAGGTCACCCTGCTAAATATTTTAGGCTAAGGAAGTTTCTCTAATTACAGCTTTTCAGTTTTCAAGGCGCTCCTTAGAAGTTATTCTTTATGTACTTAATTCGGCATCTGATCCTTACTGTTACTTGTGTGTGACTACAGTATCTACTAGCTGTTATTGAACATGCAATGCATAAAAACATTCAGTGGGTCTGCTGTAGCCTTCTCCAAATACTTTCAAGAACTTAGTGAACTCCTAACAGGTACTATTCTGAGGGTTAATGATTACAAAGTGTTCCTAGATTTTGACCATTTGAGATTATTTTATAGTGCACACGCACGCTATTTAACCTAAATTCTGAATTCCTCTAATTAGATTACTGGTTGTATTTTTTTTTCCCCCCAGTGAGTACAGTCTTCTTTTACGGATTTTTAGGTGTCAAATTCCATTTTACTGTAGGGTATGTCTATGGAGGGAAGACAGTAGGAGTTTAGGCATACTAAATGAACATAAGGTCTAAATGCCAACACTGGCAAAACTGTGCTTTGCACTCCTATAGTACACCTACCTCATGAGTCAGCAGACTCTAAAAACACAAATTTGCAAAAGCAACTGAGCTTATACTGTAGTTTATGATAGACCGGGTATGTCGACAAGGAATTACACCTGTTCAAACTCATTAACAGCATAACTGCCAGCAAAAACCTGCACATAGACCAAGCCAAATTTCTGAAAGATGTACTGAGTATGAAATGGGAAATTTCTCTTTGTCTTCCCTAAGTTTCCAAGCAGCCCACCTAATTTGAACACTGTTCCTTTAAACAACTTTGGTTTCTCAATGAACTGAAATCCCTGCCTTAAGAGTGACAAGTACAAAGAGGAATTATTTACAGCCTATACATGATAGCTCCCCACCCTTTTAATTATGTTGGACTGATTGACTACAAGTAAGCAAATGGAAAGTCTGAAAGAGTGAGGATTAATGACTACCTGAGTAGCATAAAGCAGCAAAAGCACAGATGAGAGTCTAGCCATATACTCGTTTTTGCCAACTGTCTTACCCAACAAGCCTGCTCACTTTCACTAAACACCACATTCCTATTCAACTCCTTTAATTAAAAAAAAAAAACAAACCAAAAAACAGGATAATAGTGATTTCACCTGAAATAAAAATGTTATGTCAAGAAATACCTACAATTTTTTTCCCAAAACACTCAAAGATGCATGCACAAAAAAAATAAAATTATTTGTTTGCTCTAATATTTATTCTTTTACGTTCCATTATATTCTCAGATTTCAGTATAGTTACCACTTAGTACATATTGTGCTACATCTGAAATAAACGTCAGACATTACGAACTAAATCAGTGAAGTCCCATGAAGGTGTAAATCTATGAGATGTCAGAAAACCCATTCCCACAAAGACTTACAATTTTGCTTAATGTAAGCCACGAGAAGATTCACTGAAGACTAGCAACACATGATATTAACTATATGTATATCTTCAGATAATAAATTTTTCAGAATAGACCTGGAAGTCACACTGAAATGGACCTATGGCATTTCAGATACACTTAGGGACCTAGTACAGCATCTTTCCTGCTTTTCTTTTGAAACTGTAATTCTTTTTCAAAGAAAAAGAAAATACTAGAAACCATTTCTTATTTAAGTTGATGCCTTTCAAAATGCACATTACCCAACATTTTGATTCTGGTTTGATTTCTGCTTTCCTACCTTTGCTTTTTATTATCAATGACCTTTGCACGGATACAAGTGTTTTGTTTCTTCTGAGTTTATCTGTTGCTCCAAGTTAGTCTTCATCTGAAGATATAATCTTCTGTTAGATCATAACTACTTCCAATTATACTACTCTGATGTATCCAATGATTTTATTTCCGGGTGAAATATAGGCACCTGAACTATATAAACTCACAAACAGAAGATACTTTTTTCTTTAATGTGCTCTCATTTATAAAAAAAAGGATATGAAAAAATAGAAAAGTATTCTGCATTGCTGTGTCATGACAAAGAACAATGGTATTCAAATTTTACTAAAGTTCTCCAACAATTTTTACATGGTGCAGTTCAAATAACACAAAGGATGCAATCCTACAAGGCACCACAGACCTGAGCCATATGCAGAGGTACAACCCATGTTGAATTTACTGGGATATCAGCAACCGTCCTCCCCATCTCTTCATGCACAAAACTGTTTTAGAAGAGCTGCTCTTTTATTGTTCCAGGACAGTACTTGCTTCAGTATGGCCTGATAAAGGATAGATACCTCAATAAAAGGTATTTATTTAAAGCAGTATTATATATATTTATTTATAGAGGTATTTATTTACTTATAATGTATAAGAGCCAGCACCAAAACTGGTGAGAGCGGGATTCTTTTTGGGTAATGTTAGTAGACTACAAGACAAGCTTCTATAGTCAAAGCAAATTTTCTTTCTCTCATGTCGAGGCTCACACTCAG